GAATGCATTTTTCAAATCTAGCCTGGAAAAAAACGGTTGCACCAGTTAAACGTATAGTGAGTTTTTCGTTGGATGGCAACACGAATCACTGTACGACGATCTAGCTATTTAGTAACTGAAAATCGTTGCATATCCTCACAGTACCACCCTTTTCAGGCCACTTATCATTGGATGCACCTACTCGGAGCAGTCGATGGGTTAAATCAAATCGTTTGTTAGCATTCCTTGCAGGTCGCTAAGACAGCTTGACGTTTTGCTAGCGGAAAAGCCCGAGGATGACCAATGGAAACGGGCTTTGCATCCTGCTTCAGTTGAATGCGGTGCACACCACATGGAATACATCCGATGGACAGCTGAAAACGTTTAGCATAACGTTCATGCCAGTATGTCACGTTGAGGAAGAGACAAGCAAGCGATCTAAGGATAGTACTATCCGCAAAACCAATGACTATTCATTTGCAAAATCGCTCGCAGTTGCTTTTGCTTCTGCTAGTCATTCACCTTCACACGCCATCTGTTTATTTGTTACAAATCACTATTATAGTCGGCCGGTAGCCGAGTGGTCTGCACATTTGGTTTGCAACCATAAGGTCACCGGTTCGAATCCGCGTAGGGGTGGGCGCCCTCCCGGTATACTCAGCCCGAGCGCGACTGGTGGTGGTCGCGCGGCAGCGAAGCGCCGTTACGGCGTATAGCTGACACATTATTTATTCAATTTAATCACTATTATCCGTTACCAACCGTATAGCAAAAGCTGGAGGCGCTTTTGCAAACCTTCGCCACTTATGGCGCAGGAGCGACAACACTCTCGCCCTGAAGAGTAGAGTGTACAATGCAGCAGTACGTACGACCTTACTATACGATTGTGAAACCTAACCCCCAAGATCAATGGACATAAAGAAGCTAGTTACGTTCGACCATCGGTGATTTCGTAATTTAACTCATATCTGGTGGGAACACACAGTGAGCAACGAGCGTGTTCGACGCATTGTTTACGGCACAGGAAAAGGAAATGAACCGCTCAGCACCGTTATTTCGCGCACCAGGCTCCGATAGCTCGGCCACGTGTTACGCATCCAGCTCACCGACTCCTGCGACGTGCGTTGTTTGCGCGCCGGGGGTGTGGATGGAAGAAGAGGAGAGGTGGCCAAGCGATGACTTGGTCGAGAGAAATGTAGGCCCTCACTTCGGAGCTGGCCTCAGTTGGAGCGTCTCGGCTCCCTGGTTGGTGTCCGAAAGACGATGAACACGTTTGGCTGGATACGCTTGTTGATATGGCTAGGAGCAGACCTCAGTGGCGTTCGTGCTGTGAGTTTCTTTGTCCTACCCTATCCATCTTGGCCTCCACCTTTAACAACGATCTCATTATTTAGCATTTGATAATTTTGCACAGTATATTTTTTTCTGCTGCATAGTAGCCGGCAGGTGGCTTATCGGAACGATGCCCATCCGTTACCGGTAGCTCAGCTGGCTTGCACCTGTTGCATTCTATTCCCTTTTTTCTTTTCTGTATTGCGGTACAGTAGCTGAGGTTTTTCCTACCTCTAGCTAACGTGTGTAGTGCGTGCGTGCATATGCAGATGTCGTCTGGGATCAACTTTTCAATTTCTTGATGGAGTTTAAGGCTCCTTCTTTTGAGCAGTTGTATCAATGTAAGTACTTTTTCAGGATTACTAAGTACGCGATATTTTCTCTGATTTTGACCGTTTGGGTTGGATGTTGTAGCCGTAGCTGAGCCCCGTGTATTTGTAGCAATGTTGCGAACCTGTTACTCCTGTGATATAGCGATTTAAGCTAGTTTAGTGTGGTTGTGGCTTTGTACAGAAGCTTGAGTTCACCCCTATGTTCATGGGTATTTCTCCTTACAGTAGGTGCTAGTAGATCCACAACAAGAGCAATATTGTTTATAAACTCATTTGTAGCCACAGTAGGGTTGTGAATTAGGAATGACGTATTCTAATTCATTGTACTGATAAGTTCATTAAATGAGTTCCAGCCCACACGATGGAGGTTGTGAATGGGTTTTAACATTTTACTTTGTCGTTTAGGTGAACCAATAGGCATACCACAAAGCACCGCGTTGTGATCATAGCCAGGTGTTGGATTATGAATGAATATATAAGCGTAAGAGATCCCCATCGTGAATACAGGGTCTAAGGTTGTGGCACTTTTGGTTAGCTTTCTAACATGCTGGGTCCATCCATTGAGGTGAATACATGAGATGATTTCCTCAATCCCCGCAGTGCTTCTAAATGCATACAGTTAACATGTGGCATGTTGAAATCACCAAACATAATTTTGGATTTCGCGCTAAAAGGCGTCGAACACGCTCGTTGCTCACTCTGTGTTCCCACCAGATATGAACTAAATTGCGAAGGCACCGGTGGTCGAACGTAACTAGCCTCTTTATGTCCGTTGATCTAAGGGGCCAGGATTCACAACCGTATAGCAAGGTCGAACGTACCGCTGCATTGTACACTCTACCCTTCAGGGCGAGAGTGGTGCTGGAAGCAGCATTTATCACATCAACTAGCTTTTGGGTTTCACACTGAGTGGTTCCGCGCGGCCGATAGATACAACCCACTAGAAGACCAGTAGATGGAATCATTAGCCGTAGTGTATCTTCTAAGTCATTTCGCACTACTACTACTACTACTACTACTACTACTACTACTTGCAAAGCCACCATGGCGTTTCTTCTAAGTAAGTGTCGTCTGTTGTCTGAAGATATTTAAACTGCAACATCCGCAACTACTGAATGCGGCTGTAAAGACAAACTAATGAAACCCAATATGGTTAACTTGTATCCAAAATGAATGCGGAGTGGGCTGTAAAATATGCTGGGATAAGTAGCGTTCGTAAAATGAGAAAGGTACAATGGTAACTGGAGAAGCAGAATGTAGTTCCATTTCAAGTGGAACAGCGCCTTTGAGTATAAGGTATGACACAGTATGAAGATCAGCGGAGGGAAACTTTGGTTCAATAACGGATATTGTTAGACTTTGAAGTGTTAGCGTTAGGGGTGATGGAATAAATGTTCTCCTGATATGGATCAGCAACATAACATCGTTGTTGATAAGAGCGATGACTTGCGACCGACAACATCGAGCGTAGTGGCCAGGTTAGTCGCAGTTTTCGCACTTAAGGCTGCGTGCGGAACAAGTGGCAAAATTGGCTTTATGAGAAGCACTTCCACAGCAATAGTAAGACGGTTTGTCCGTTGTTAATTGTCGGATGGATTGCACTCTTGCCACCTCAGCTGAGTTGGTCGAACAGAACTGTTTCGATTGCAGTGAAATTTCAGTTTTCCTTCTGGCTAACTCGCAGGCTCGACCCCACGTTAATGTGCACGCCTCTTCCTGCAACAGCGTCTCACGCATACGATTGTCCGCGATTCCAGAAAGTAGCTGCTGGGTCAGCATACAGTCTTTGATAATGTTCTGAGGAATGAACGAATAATCACACGGTCGTACTGTGCGACTTAACCGGGCAAGGAAATATGTCCAAAGGTTCACCTGTTTCCTGATGCATACGGGAGAAAACGTATCTCGCAGTAAACACATTCATTTGCTAACCCAATGCGCGATCGAGAGCACTGAGAGGTTATTTAACGGATTTATATCCTTGAAGGCCTAAATCATCAGACTGTCGCTGCCCCTCAACTCCAAAGCAGCTTCAATCTGTTTTTTCTCACTAAGAGCAGCATGTATATCTCTGATTAAACCCAAATGGTTCTGGAAGGACGTCTTCCAACCGAGCCAGGCATCTGGTGTTGGTCTGATACCGCAATCAGTCCAGAATGGAGATGGAAGCTGAATGAAAAGGTACAGCTTTGGACTCGCGACGCTAAATGTTGTATCAAGAAGGCAACAGAAAAAAGCAGGATGTGTGTCCGTACTCAATGCAGAGGTAGCAGACTCAAAATACAGGATAAATAATGGTAACCGTCCGGATTTTACACAACCAATGAGAAGAGAGTTGCTGTGTTTCAGCCAGCCAATGAAACATGAGTAGTGACATGGTGATGAATCGGCCACAACAGGCACGCCAATGGGTTCAGCATTCTCTGGACTGGTATCCGAGGCAGTGATGCAAGCGTTGAAGCAAAAGACACTGACGTGGGTGAAGCCCAAACTTTGGGTGCGTTACTTGGACGATATTTTTGCTATCCTCAAGCGCTCCAGACTATAAGAAACACATCAACTGATCAACAATATTTTCCCCGGCATCTGTTTCACCAAAAAAGGAGATAACAACGACTAGTTACCATGCTTGGACGTGCCAGTGATAAGACATGATTCTGGCCCCCTGGAAACAGCGGTCTATCGGGAAGCGACGCACACCAATCAGATGTTGAACTATCGCAGTAACTATCCGGTCAATTACAAGCGCATTTGTGTGAGGACACTTTATAAACGGGACAAAACGCTGTAGAACGCTGCAACTGAGGAAAACCACCTAGTTAACGTTTCTGTGAGATTCGTACTTCAATCAACAAGCTCCTGGAACTAGAGAGAGCCTACGAAGCATTGCAGGTGAAGTCAGTATATGGTACCAGATCGATAGAGCCAATCGAAGACTGCCATTAAACTCAGCAGATGACCAATGGGCACCTGGATCTGGTAGTGGCTTATCAGACTGCGAGTCCGACCCTGCGACAACAACACCCAGCTCAGAGTACAGAACAACCCTCTCACATAGACACGGACACAAATGTATAGTACGAATAAACATTTGGGTGTAAACAACAGGGGCCGAAAAAGAGAAGAGCGCAGATGGTCTGACAGCTCCTCTAAGGGCAGCGATCAGGGCATACGTTAATATGGCAACAAAAATCAGAAAAGGATGTCTTCGTAAAACTTGGCTGAGTGATGTCTGAAGATTTTCGGTCCTTAATGGAACTACTGTTGTGTCGCACTGATTTTCCAACTTTCTCAAAGTGCAGAATGCGCCAACCTGCACTTTTGGGCATCATGCGCAAGTTACTTTATACCACTTACGAGTGAAATGGCAGATTAATGAAGACGACCCCGCAGATTTTCGAAGAAACATCACATCGCGCGTCAATGTGGATGGAAGTGGGTATGTCTTCCACCGCCGGTGGAGACACTGGGGCTGACTTATCCCAAATTTTATGAGCATTCGCATCGAACAGGGATATGGAGTATGTAACGTCAGCCTCAGCGTGAATGAAGAAAGTAGAAACCACGACGCATACCTGAAGAGGAGAGCAACAAATAGATAAAACTAATCACGATGCATAGAATGAGCATAACAGTTGCCAATTTTGGATAGGAACAAGCTTATAAACGCGCGTTTCAACAGAGCGAGAGTACGAACGTGAAAAGATGGAAGACAAGTTCATGGTATGGAGAAAAACAAACACAATATTGCCCAGGTTACTCGACGAAAAGACACTGAAGGCATAAGACGTTGATACGAGGTGCAGTTTCGCGAGAGCAGAGGGTGATGGAACGCTAACCCGAATGAGTCGATTATTCAATCTTACAACAAAAACAATCCCGATACTACTGAAAATAATGCTTCCAAACGGTGCGAAGCCGTAATCTTTTAGCACGCACAATAGGACTGTAGGAACTAAGCCTGTTGTAGTAACGCAAATAGGTTTCTGCTTGGGTGGGTTAGGTCAGCAACGTAAAAGGAATATAAAGTGCTCAGCCTACTATTCTACCGGAGGAAGTATTGCCAATATCACAGTAATCGATTCGCTGCGGTAATCGACAGATGGGTGCGGGACTCATAGTACAATTTTGTCGCTGCTTTCTCGAGTGACACTAAGCGTGGCCATCAAAGTTGACCCGATCATTAAATACCAATAGGTAATTTGGTCAGTATGCCGTAATGTCCATAGGATATACCGAGTTTATTCCGGAATTCGGCTCTCAAGCAATCAGAATAAGCGAAAAAGTTGTCATATCATGGTGGCAAAAGGTCGACATCTCGTAGCTAACTAACGGTGGGGTAAGTGATCTTGGCCCACAGATATAGCAGTGCAAATCATGCACCGGTGTTTGGTTCATCAAGAGAAACTGCGAGACCGACCATAGCAGCGGTAGTGCTAGTGGATCACGTGTGAGAGGATCAAAAGATTGGTCTGATGTACGCGGCGCACGTGTTGCACCGAGCAGCTGTGAATAGCATCACATTAGGACTTTCTGATATTCCACAGCCTTTCTTCAAATAGGTGTTTTGCTTTGAGGTGCTTTTAACCGATCTCACATTCATTTACCACCGCTTATTATTATTATCAACAAGGTAAAATAGTTGGTTATAACTGCACCCACTGCATGTTGACTCCGGAAATAAAGTTGGCCAACTGAAGTGAAGTTGTAAACAACCACTGTAGTGGAGAGCTTCGGTGTTGCTCTCTCATTCCTGCGCTCCACGACGCGTTTTGTCCTTGTTTGGGCTAATTACGTACAGATAGCCTGAATCGGGAGTGAAACTCGACACATAGTGGTTGGCGACTATCACCATGATCACTAGACCAGAGAGCTCCGCGAGCAGAGTTTGACACAGCAATTGTCGGGTTTTTAGTACCCACCGATTGTCATAGATTTTGCCGAGTTTCACACCCGATTCAGGATATCCATGGCTAATGAATCCAAACAAGGACGAAACCGTTGGTCGTGAAGTGCGGGAATGATAGAGAGCAGCACCGAAACCCACCACTTCGGATCCGGTCCCAGTGATTGGAATGGCTGACTTCAAAGTAAACCGAAACCACCTGCAACCGTTGATACCTTTACCCTTCAAAGTGGTCTGGATGAGTTTGTGCTATGGTCATCGACCCGGCCTCTCATTCTAAACATTTTTAAATACCGTGATGTAACATCTTGTTATTCCAATTGATCAGCTGTAAGCTATTTCGAATGCCACTTCCTCACTGCAAGTCAGTGATCAACTCATACCCAGGATATCGACTGTCAAATATCTTCGAGTTTTTCTATTCCAAAGCCTATCCTGGTCTACCCAGGTTGCTGAAATATTTGATAACATTATAAGGGTATCAATAAACGAGATGGCCTATTTCGAAGCGACCATCCTGACTATAAAACATCAGTGTGCTTTTCCATCAAGTCGTCAGCGACAGCCTTGAAGTAGGCAGTTAGAAAAATAAAAAGCCGACACTGGTGGTCAGAAACAGCTAGCCTCTTAGTGTCCTTAATGTACAGTGACCACATCTGCTAGGCCTATTGCAACACTGACCGCACTGCACCTTATGTATGTAACCTCAACAGTCTATTAACTAGACATAGAGCCAGAATAAAACCGTGGAGGCACTGCACCTTCGTGAACCCTGTATTAAATAGCAAAAAGTTACGTGGGTCCGGGTGATACCTGCAGTGGCCCCATAAGCAAGTTGACTACCGGATTAGTAAAAACACCTAGATAAGTGAAATAACCCACAACATTGGTGCTAAGTGCTGGTGGTACTCAGACGAGTCCTGCAACAGTACCTCGCAATTTAAACGCAGGTAAAAGGTATCAGCAGTGCGTCGGAATCTAGTACTGACGCCTCGCTGCCGCGCAACCATTAGCCGCAGCATCCTTCCTGGGGTAATGCAACGTAACCTGCATCTGCGTAGCAAGGAATTGGCCCGGAAAATCTCATTACTAGTCAGCTACCTCACCTCCAAAATGCGAAGAACTTTTCAGTATGCAGCATCCAGCACTTGGTCACTTGGTGAGCTCCAGGCCAAAGCACGCAGGAAACGGTCATTCACGGGCTTCTTAATCATGAAGCAAATCCATTTCAGTCGAGAACACAAAACATGGCTCTCACAATGCTCAGATTCGTGATCAACTAGTTTCGTTAATGAAAACGTAGTCATTTAGTATGCCACACGAAGATAACCAACAAGGCCACCAACCGAATACAAAGCTAATTTGAAGCTGAAGGACCACCATGGTAAGTGGTTTGTACACATGGCGCTGTTCAAATGACTGGTGCAGCATAAAAATGGGGCTAAATTTATCTTATTGGTATACATCAGACAAGCGACGAATAACCATTGATTAAGCCCATACAGTTTACATAGATTTGGAATGCGAATAGCTCAAAGACGCGTGCAAATGTGGATGGTCTCGAGCAAGTTCAAAAAAGTCCAGGACGTCGTTTACCTCAGGCCATGTGTGTAAATGGCTTAGTAATTGCAGTTGCATATAACTTTGATAAATAACTAGTGAACTTACGAGTGGTTCAATGCACGTGTGGCAAGTATTGACAAAGTGGTGGAGCAAATTACGGCAACAAATGATCGCTGATCGCTCCCACTTATGGGGCCGTGTACCGTCCGTCGGTAAATATACAAATTTATTTATTTATTTATTTAATACGGCGCAAGTGTTGTAGATTGGTTCCGTCGGAATACTGGCGGCATACGTGCCATATAACGCGAAGGGTTGCCAAATTTGGTTAGTTTCAGTCCTACGCATGCTTACACCGTCGCAACGAGACTAGACCTTAACGTGGTGCGACGGTTTGCGTACCTCATTGACCCATTGAGCTATACTGGGTGATGCCTCTGAGCATCTTGAGAGCTACTCCTACCAGGTTGGTCAACGGTGAGAGGTCAGACAAACTCAGTCTCCTGGTCCTCCAGGTTGGGGGTTTGAAATGGGATGGCGTCCATTTCTGTAAAACTAAATCATTGCCATCCCGCTGCCTCGCGGACAGGCTTTTGAGCCAAAGACTTAGGATGAGGACCCTAATCGTCCTCCTGTCTAGGTCTGGGCGCCCTGGCAGTATCCCAGACCACATACAACCATGATATTTTCTTCAAACATAAACTTCATCCTGCATCGGCCGTCGCGCAGATTATCAAGGGTCGCTTTGTCTGTTGCATACAGCAGGGCGGATAAGCGAAAACATGCTACTGCCGGCGCCCCCCTTCTTTCTTTTCCACCTTTTTCTCTTACTCCCATCCCGGCCCCCATAACTAACCTTCCTTCTATAATTCCTAGCTTAATTGACAGCAACCGCAGTGCTACTGGAGTAGAACCATCTGCAGCCACCATCCCACAGCACCTATCGGACGCCTATCGGCAAAAGTCCCTTATAAGGCCACGCTATCCCGTTTCCACGGCGACATTTAACGTCCGCACTCTAAGACAAACAAGTCAGCAGGCTGCACTCGCACGCACCTTGGACACACTGGGTGTTGACGCGTGTTGTGTGTCCGAAACTAGGATCAATGACCCTAACGGGGTTATTGAATTGACTGCACCCGGCTTATCCTCTCGTTATTGGTGGCACGCATCCGGAGACGCCGATGCGGCACTCACGGGTCAAGCTGGTGTAGGTATCATTCTAAGCTCCAAGGCTGAGCCATCGTTGGTTGACTGGATTCCGGTGAATAGCCGTTTATGTGCAGCCCGTTTGACGACATCAGCTAAGGTGAATTCGCGAAGTAACACAAAACGCTGTTTGTTTGTGATTTCCGTTAATGCTCCCACCGACTGCAGTTCTAATGCTATCAAGGACACTTTCTATCACGAACTGAAGGCGCTACTATGCAGTGCTACTAGTTCAGATATTATAGTACTTGCAGGGGATATGAACGCACAAGTAGGGCGTCTGAGCTCTTCAGAAGCTCAGCTGGATGGTAATTATGGACTTAACTCCGAACGGACTGACAACGGCGAGCGTCTGCTGCAACTGTGTGCGGAGCACCAGTTGTTTCTCAGTAGCACTGCTTTTAGACACAGTGGGCGCCGAAGTGCCACTTGGCGTCCACCTGTAGCTGGCCAGCGATGGACCCAAATTGACCACATAGCCATAAATTACAGATGGCGCGGTTCCATTCTGGATTGCCGCTCGTACTGGAGTATCTGTGTCGAGTCTGATCATGCCTTGGTGCGCTGTCGTTTCTCCATGAGCTTTACTGGAAGGCGCACAAAGCGCCCCCTCCGACTGGCAACGGAGAAATTGTCTGTCCTCGGTCAGGCAAGCCTATCAAGAAGCACTGCATACCGAACTCTCGCTGTCTTGTCCTAATGACACTGAACTTCAGTGGAACAGGATCTCGGCCGCCATGCACGACGCAGGAGCATCTGCTTGTGGCACTATCCATCGTCACCGCACCAGTCACTGGATATCCGAGAGGTCGGTGAGCCTGTTGGAAGCTAGAAGACACCTCCCGGCTGGTTCTGAACACATTGTGATCAGACGGGCTATTAGGCGTGAACTAAAGCGGAGCCTACGTGCTGACAAGGAAGCCTGGTGGACCAGTAGGGCTCAAGAAATGAAGGAGACAGGAGCAGTAGGCAATTACCGGAAGCTCTTCCAGCTAATACGCACCACTGGTCCCAGAAAAAAAGGCGTCAATGAGACAATCAGAGACAGCGCGGGTGCGCTGATACACAATAAGGAGCGCCGTATGGCTCGTTGGGCGGAACACTTTCAAGATCAGTTCAGCTGGCCCCCTGCTCCCGGACCTCTTCCTACTCAGGTGAGGCAGGACGTGCCGTGGACGATTAGTTTAGAGTCTCCGTCAGGGGCCGAGGTCCGAAACGCGATCACAGCCCTCAATCGTTTTCGTGCCGCTGGCACGGATTTCCTTCCACCTGCACTATTTAAGGATGGAGGTGACGTCCTCTGCAGGGCACTGACCTCCCTATTCGAACGTATCTGGAACGAAGTGTCCCGGCTAATTGGAGCGAATCGATTATAGTGGCAATATACAAAAAGGGCAGTCGCACAGACTGTGCGAACCACAGAGGTATTTGCCTGACACCAGTTGTGACAAAATTACTGGCCTCGATTATCGTTCGTCACCTCACTGCAGAACGGGAATCCGGGATTAGGGAAGAGCAGGCCGGTTTTCGCCCAGGACGTGGCTGTATAGACCATATATTCACTTTGCGGCAGGTGCTAGAGCAGGGCCACGCATACCGAAAACCGTCAGTAGCTGTGTTCCGCGATTTCAAGAGTGCCTTCGATTCAGTCGATTGATCCATTCTGTCCGAAATATCTGCGCGGAAACGTGTTCACACAAAATATGTGAACATCCTTCGTGCTCTATACTCAAACACTACAGGCCGCGTCATGGTCTACAGTGTCTTATCGGATAGCTTTCCGACCACAACTGACGTTCGTCAGGGTTGTCCGATTTCCCCATTTTTGTTCAATTTTGTCGTGGCTTCTATCATGGAGTGTTCCCTTGCGGAATCTCACGATGTAGGCGTTGAAGTGCTGTCTGGTGAAAGGTTAGTTGATCTAGATTATGCGGACGATATCGTCTTGCTTTTCGACGATGTTGCGGCGACACAATCAACCCTGAATAGCCTGTCCAGAGTGGTCCCATTAATGTATGCACTTCGCACCTTCAAAGTGCAAAGTGTTGCTGCAGGACCACCAGCCACTTGTTGACCCCTTGACGCTTGCTAACGAGGAACTCGAGGTGGTTGATCATTTCACTTATCTTGGCAGCTGCGTCAGCAATGATGGGTGCATAGAAACTGACGTGAGCTCACGCATTGCAAAGGCCAGAGCTGCCTTCTTGAACCTGCGGCATCTTTGGCGACAGAAGGGAGTTTCCCTCCGTCTGAAAGGCCGTGCATACAAGGCCACAGTGAGGGCCGTTCTGCTCTATGGTAGTGAAACTTGGCCCCTTCGGTCTGAAGATCTGAGGCGCCTTCAAGTCTTTGATCATCGTTGTTTGCGAAGCATTGCTGGTGTCGGATGGCACCAGCGTGTCCGCAACGGTGATGTGCGTGGGCGAGTACTAGGTAGTGATAATCATGCTAGCTCTCTAGAACAACAGATAGCACTGAACAAGTTGCGTTGGCTCGGGCACGTGCTACGTATGCCTGGTCACCGCTTACCTAGGAGGGCCTTGTTTAGTCTGCCAGGTGTAGGATGGCGCAAGGCTCAAGGTGGACAGAAGTTGACTTGGCAGCGGGAAATGAAGTCACTGACAACCAAACTGGGTACCGTTGGTCCGTCTCACCTTCCGGGTTGGAGTCCACGTGACTCACCTTGTGCTTGGCTCGAGACTTTACAGGACATGGCTCGCAACCGACACCAGTGGCGCGTCTGCTGCCGTCTTCTAATCGGATTGCCTGTTTAAAGTATGTTTGGTGCTGAGTTATCTGCGGGATAATGGCTGATTATGACGCGGGGCTGTGAAAGCCGCAAGGAAGCTGTCTCGCCGATGCCGCCTTATCTTTGTACGATAGCCAGCTGTTTGTGATGGCATGTTGTCTACACAAGGTGTAGGCGCATTGACCTAGAATGTTTGCTTAGGGCATTAAGGTTTTCAGGTAAGTCCCCCTTCTCTCCCTCTTATTCTTTATTTCATAGGTCCTCATGGTTGTATGGCAGCGAAGCATCAGTTTAAATGGCTGATGTACTGCTGTTGATGATGATGATGATATGCATGCTTACAGGTTAAGCATAAATTGTCCGCCACTATTATGATATGACCGAGTTCGCGTAACAACTAAGCAAACAGAATAAAACTAGTATGTCAGTGAGATGATGCGTCCATTCCCAGTGGAAAACCATGGGAGGTCGAGAGTGCGGAAACTATTCGTAATGTGCTTGATGCGGAATGGACGGTCACAGTCTGTAAAAGGCCCAGTAGTTCCGTAAAAAGTCGAACTCTGGGACAAGATAATGTCAGAAGTGAGCCCGCTGTTACAACTATGGAACTTCCCACCAACAACTGTGCAATCGTTCAGGGCTGGTAAACTTCTCGTTTGTCGTCTACTAAACACATATTGATAAGTTGCAGTTGTTTCTCGTAGTGGCACTAGTTCGCTAATGATCGATTTACCAGAAGCCTCCGAATCCTGTCAAATGCATAAGATTACATTCTTAATAGGGTGTTTGATGCGCATTAAGATAACAAGACTTACGGAAGTGCTTATTAAGTAGGTGCTGCGAAAACGTATGGCATGATGCATCAATTATACCCACATGTGAGGTTGTGCTCTTGACACAAATGTATCCAATGAAGTGAAAGAGTTGAAAGGCAGATTGAACGGCTGCTTATGATAGACCTTCATGCGTCAGGAGCATTAACACGCGTTTAAGTGAAGAAGCTATACAGTCCTTGTGGTTAACTTGTAATAAAATCATTTGCTAACAGGGTGAACGGCAGGTGATATGATGAGCATAAACTGGCAAATCGTTTGCATTAACAACAGACAGCAGTGCATAAGCGTCACATAATGATAAGTCGTCCACCCAGAAAAAGGAAGAAATGGAATACAAAAAGCATTCATTGAAGAAGAAGAAGAAGAAAGTTGCAAAGTCGTTAACCAGTTAATTGTAACCAAAAACGAGTCATTCGACACTTACGAAGCATAAAACTCACCAATTTACCTTCAAAATTTTTTATGTCCATGGCAATAACAGTTAGGTTCGGTAAAGTAAAGTGGGACACAGGTGATATGCCTTGTAACAAGGACCGCTTGCGTACAGAATCACCATCAGCCTTTGCAGAATTCGAAAACAAAGGAACTTGGTATATAATAACCACTGATCCGTTGTCAGCAATAGAGCAGATGGCGAGAAATGATGATATGGAAATATTCGCTTGCCACTCAGAAGGAACTGAAACCGTTAGTATAGGATGCCGCCGTCCGAGGCCACCTCGCTCGAGGAAAGTGTCATCATCAGCGGGAGAATGCATATGCAATACCCATGAAGGAACCAGGGCATATTTCTCGAAAGATACCGATATAAGGGCTAGCAGCATAGAAAGTACAAGTGCGCAAGCATATTTCACGTGCAGGACGCTGCAGACAAGCTTCAGTAGCATTTCAGCCGCTTCCAAAAAAGGAGAATGTATAAGAGGTCACTGGTAGAACATTTTGGCAAATCGCCAGACAAACAGAAAATTAAGGTCAAAATATTTTCCGGTTCAATGGCGAAGCATCGTTGGTAGGTGAGAAGCGTGGCATAAATAAGGCCATAGATGCTCGGCAACTGCGGTATCTGAATGAGTTGGCAGGAAGAAAATTGTTCGGTCATTATGGAAGTTAAGACAAGTGTTTCAGGTAAAACAACAAATAACGTCTGGGTGACACCCATCTACAAGCAGACCTAACTGGTATATCTTATTCCTTAGGCTGCGCACATTGCTCAGTACTACCTAAAGGTATTCGTAATGTCTAGACCTTGGTCGTACGCTACCCGACGGGCACTGGGAGGGCGGAAAAGGACCGCCGGCTAACCACTCGAAAACCCACAAACCGGAGACTATGTTCACCGACCATTCGCCTGCTTTCGAGGTCCTTGATGACTTCCTTAGCTTCAGTCGATCTGCCAGAGGAAGGTCCGGGTGAACACCAATATTTGTACCTTTCAGCATAAAGTAAACTGCGTGATCGCGTTGTGTTTCGCCAGTCTAATCAGCCTCCTGGAAAACCAGGCAGAAGAAGCTTCGTTACGCACATTTTATACCACTGAAGGTCGTACAACATGCGTTCAGCAGGAAGGACAGCAGTGGATTTAGTCGCGTTGCGGAACACAACGCAACTATCCGTGAAAGAATCCCCAAGACGGGGTGCATTTACCCCACGGGTCTTTGATTCAACACTTGGAGCAAGTGGTTTCACCGCTGGTGACGGGACTGTCCCTAAACCACAAATGATGTACCAACGGCAGCGTTTGTATTTCACTCCATTGTTGGCGTCTTATTTGTTTTTCGGCTTTCGAGTCCACCGGGAAGATCTGATCTGCTTTTTCATCTTGATAACGAAACCAGGGGCCCATGAAGTTTTGTCGCTTTGAGTAGAGTCAAACAAACCGTCAGAAGGCGCCTTATCGGTGAGAGCCGAGATAGCCGGCGCCTTCAAATGAAACGTAGAGAGTGGGGATTTTATCCATCGCGCAACTGTCAGACGGCCTGATTAGTAATAACGGCTTGTTTCCGATGCCGAGACAACTACAGCTTCTTGCTTAGCAAAGGTTACGGTTTCTTGGATTTCTTTCGCTTTACTCTAATGGACTTTGAACCAGCAATTCGGCGTGGATCAGGGTAGGGTTAGGTACGACGTCTGAAGCACCTTCATTTGTCATAATAATCATTATACACGTCAGCTAGAGGTGGGAAACACATTAGCTAGTGTCGCAAAAAATAGAAGGAAAAAGGAGAGAAATGCAACAGGTGCAAGCCAGCTGAGCTACCGGTAACGGATGGGCATCGTTCCGATAAGCCACCTGCCGGCTACTATGCAGCAAAAAAGTACTATGCAAAATCATAAAGCTAAACAGCGAGATCGTGTTTGGAGAGGGAGGTTAAGAGGGAGGGGTGGGACAAAGAAACTCACAGCACGAACGCCACTGAGGTCGGCTCCTAGCCATATCATCAAGTGTATCCAGCCAAACGTGCTCATCGTCTTTCGGACCACAGCCAGGGAGCCGAGACGCTCCAACCGCGGCCAGCTCCGAAGTGAGGCCCTTCATTCCTCTCGGTCAAGTCATCGCTTGACCACCCCTCTTATTCCATCCACACTCCCGGCGCGCAAACAACGCACTTCGCAGGAGTCGGTCGGCTGGCATGCGTAATACGTGGCCGAGCTATCGGAGCCTGGTGCGCGAAATAACGGTGCTGAGCGGTTCACTTACTTTTCCTATGTCGTAAACAAGACGTCGAACACGCTGGTTGCTTACTCGGTGTTCCCACCGGATGTGCTAAATTGCGAAGGCACCGTGGTCGAAGGTAACTAGCCTCTTTATGTCCGTTGATCTAAGGGGCCACATTTCACAACCGTACAGAAGGGTCGAACGTACACTCTACCCTTCAGGGCGAGAGTGATGTCGCGCCGGCGCCATAAGTGGCGAAAGTTAGCAAAATCGCCTCGAGCTTCTGCCATACGGTTCGTGATCTCATCGCCAATCCCACGGGCGCTGATACAAATTCCCAGGTAGTTGAATTTTTGAATGACTTCTAGCTGATCCTCAACAAGGGTCAGCGCAGAAGACGGTCCAGACCAATCTTGGAGGAACACTTTGCACTTCGAGGGTGCGAAGCAAAGACCGAAGTGACGGACAGCCAGTGCTAATCTGTCCAGTGCCGCTCGGCACTCAGCCGGTGGCCGAGTGGTCTGCGCGATTAGTTTGCAACCATAAGGTCGCCGATTCGAATCCGCGTAGGGGTGGGCGTCCTCGCGGTATACTCAGCCCGCACGCGACTGGTCGTGTTCGCACGGCAGTGAAGCGCCGTTACGGCGTACAGCTGACACAAAGGGCAATATCCTCAGCATACTAAAAGTCAAGAAGTCGTTCTCCTGGGAGCAGATCCACACCTTCTAAGTCGTGTCCTGTAAACGCGATTTCCATGACTTCGTCAACAGCGAAGTTGAAGAGGAAAGGTGACAGCGGGCATCCTTGTCTCACACCGCTGGAGATATTAAAGGGTAACGACAGCTTGCAGTAAGCCCTAACTCTGCCCGAGCTACGAGCATATAATAATCGGATAATGTTTGCATATTTCTCGGGTACACCTTTCCTGAGTAGACAGTCCCAAAGTGCACACCTATCCACCGAATCGAATGCACCTTTGATATCGATGAACACGACAACGATGGGTTGCCAATATATGTGACGGTGCTCCAAAAACTGACGCAAAGTGAAGATGTGGTCAATGCAGCCACGATCTCGATGAAACGCGGCTTGCTCTTCATGTACATAGCTTTCAAGAGTGCCAGTCAGTCTGTGAAGGATGACAGAAACAAGCAATTTGGAGGCGATGGAGATCAGACTGGTTCCTCTATGGTTACCGCAATCTGATCGTGAGCCTCCCTTGAAAATTGGGACTACGAAGGAGCGGCTCCAGTCGGTTGGGACAGTTTCCTGCTCCCACAGTTTCACTAGCAACTCGTGGCTGGCGTGCCGAACCTCATCGTGGTGCCAGCTGGGTGGTTCGGGTTTGTCCCGTTTCAGCAAATGGTTCGGCGGCATTGTTCCAAGACGTGGTGGGTTTTCGCCTGGCAAGCGTTCTCCCTATAAAAGCCACAAATGTCTGTTTAACAACACTGCGACGTGGCGGATGTGACTCGCCACTAAATAAAGTCACTGCCCCTTGCCCCTCCCTGAGAGGCATTGTACTTCAAGGGTGCGTCTGGCCCCTGGTCCTTTACGGAGCGAAAGGCGTATGAACCATCTATTTGGTCACCGGCTCCCAACGGGTTGCGACGCCCTCATATCGTCCTGCTGCCTTGTAAATTACATCTTTGATCAAAGGCTCGGGGCAGGACCCCCTAAGACAACCCTCTACTTCGGCCTGGGCAACCGTGTAGCATCACGCTCACTGGCGAATCATGGACCACACTGCTTACTACTGCTCCTGCTATGCCTAACTTCTATACCATCTCAACTGCTCAACCTCCACTCACAGATCACCCCACCTCCCGTACTTCACCTATATGTACTCTTATGTCTTCTCCGGTCACCGTCACAAACGACCCCCGTCTCGCAACTGATGGAAGCAACAGCCAAACTCCTGGTTATCAATGTCCTTCGATCGCAACCGCCTCTCACCCCACCGAAGCTCCAGCTCTTCTTCGACCTGATTCTCCATTCATCCTCGCAGCGTTTAAGGTTCGAACTTTGATGCAGATCGGACGACAAGCATGTCTGGTCCGTACTCTTGAAACGCTTTCGGTAGACATCTGTTGCCTTTCAGAAACCAGATTACAAGACTCAGCGCCGTCATCAGAATGGCCTCTCCGGTAAACCCTGACACCAAATACCACTTGCGGCTTTCCGGAGACCCAGAAACTGCCGCCACTGGCCAAGCTGGTGTTGTGGTTGCACTGAGTGGCAGGGCTGAATCAGCCCTGCTTGACTAGATCCCAGTCAACAGTCAGATATGTGTCGTCAGACTACGAGGTTCATGTAACATAAGCAGGCGTCGAGACGTTAAGCGTGCTTTGTTTGTCATCTCCGCCTACGCGACTACAGACTGCAGCCCGGATGCAGTTAAAGATAGCTTTTACCAGCAGCTCCATGAACTTTTGCGTTCCTCCAAAAGGACTGATATAATCATTCTTGCCGGGGACTTTAACGCACGGGTTGGCCGCCTTCCACCAAGCGAGCACCACCTTGGTGGTAGTTTTAGTCTCGGTGGCAGTCGATCAGACAACTGAGACAGACGGCTTGCTCTTTACTCTGATCATCGCTTGTTTTTTTCGAGCACTAGTTTTCGGCACTCGAGGAGACACACTGCTACCTGACGCCCGCCCTCACAAACGCAAGAGTGCTCCCAGCTCGACCACATAGCAATCAGCTACAGATGGCGCGAAAGCGAAACGGACTGCCGATCGTACAGTCAACTTATCTAGACTCCGATCAGGCATTGGTTCGTACTAAGATTTGCATGCGTTTCGGAAGATCACCTAAGCGCGCTCACTACCGACCGGAAGTCGCAAATTTACAAAACCCTGCGATTTTAACCAGGTACCAAGCCTCACTGTCAACCTTGCTTGGCTCAACTATTGACGGTGATCTCGAGTCGCAGTGGGCGCAGATAAAAGATGCTTTAGTTTCCGCCAGTATCGACACTTGTGGAGTTGCCCATCACCCACCGAAGCATTGGATTTCCGCCGTCTCCTTGTCGCTGATGGACAAACGCCGCTTGATCCCGTCGGATTCCAGACACACTGAAGAACGCCAATCCCTTGGTCGAGAGTTGCGCAGGAGTCTGCAAATGGACCACGAAGCTTGGTGGTGTGAAAGCACTAGGGAGATGGAGCTTGCTAGTCTCTCTGGTAATACCAGAAAACATTCCCATCTCATTCGATCTGGTATAATTGAAACAATATGCGAAGAGGATGACACCTAAATCACCAACCTTCAACGACGGTTGGAGCGATGGGCCGAACATTTTGGCGCGCAGTTTTGTTGGCCTCCAGCTCCATCTGCTACCTCTGGCGCTCGCGCTGGGGCTAAGTGGTCTACCCCCACAGATCCTCCCTCTTAACAGGAACTCGA